CTTCAATCCTCCAAGAGATGGAGGACCTCCACTCCACTTTCCTCCCCCAAGCAAGGAACAGGTTCAGAACCTCCTCTCTAACCCCACTCAAAATCCTCCAACCATTGATTTAACCACCCCCAATCCCCGTCACGCCACCACATCGTGTCAAGCACCACATCATCCTCAAAATACCAACCTTCAAATCTTCCATCTCCCTCAAAACCAAAATACGGTTTGAAATACGTTCGACTTGATTTCTCAAGAGTGAGATATGTAGGCGGCCTATGTCGGCCTCAGTCATTTCTTTATAAAAACTTCCTATTTTGGTTAATCCTTGAGGGGGGAACTACGTTTGACCTGATTTCTACTCCAATGGGATATGTAGGCACCACAACGGCTCGGTCATATACCAAGTAATATTTCCATTTCTCTTCATAATGGAAACTGGGACAGAATTTTTGAGAGGATCTCAAAAATTCATTTGAAGTTGGACTTCTTTAACAAGTCAAAACAGAAGACCAAAATTCTACGTAGTTAGCCTTGGATGGATCTAAAAAATTACGATTATCTAGTTTGCAACTGGGACAAAATTTTTGAGATGATCTCAAAAATTCCACAAATGTTATTTGTTACTTAGTGAGATAAACTGGGATAAAATTTTGAGGAGGGGCCTCAAAATTCCAGAATGAGCAACCTCAGAATTAACAGAGCAAGTTATGAGAGTTCTTATATATTTTAGATCGAGGATAAAATTTTTGAGGAGGGTCCTCAAAAATTTCATCAAATATGTCATATAAAGGACGGGCGAGCGTGTAAGCCAACTGCAAGAAGGAGCATGGAGACAAGACCAACACAAATCAGTCTTTCAAACTAAGAATTTTCTTTGGATGTAGGAACATTGAGGTCACAAAAATGGCTATATAAAGCTGTCAAGAATGACAAAGGGCGTCACTTGCACCCATCGTGGACTGATCAACGAAACCTAGAAAATCTTCAATCTCATTTTCTCTCTAGTTCTTTATTTTGCCTCAAGTGATTTATAAACAAGTTTCATTTTATCTTGCAGGAATATTAAGGCCGAACACTGATAGATTCTTTCAAAGGTTCAAGAAGCAAAGTGCGGGAGGATCGCTAGTTATGAGTCATGATCAAAGATTACAGTTGGACTCATCATAGCCTAATCTGGATAGGCCAAATGACTCAATCTAGTTCCTCTTCTTTACTTTTATTCTTTACTTCATCATCGATACTAATGTTTGGTGTTGAGCTTTGCAGGTGATAGTATTGATAAAGTCAAAACTATATATGAAATCGATGTCAAATTTGAAGATGATCAAAAGTGACACTAACTTAGAAGTGTTGCAAGGGAAAATCACTGAATCCATCACATCAAAAAGATGATGGTTCCTATTTTTGATTTATATTGGAATATTATCGAGCTATCCAACTCGTTACAGTTGAAATATTATCGAGCCATCCACCTATTAGAGTTGGAACATTATCGAGCATCCACCTCGTTACAGTTGGAATATTATCGAGCATCCACCTCGTTACAGTTGGAATATTATCGAGTCATCCACCTTGTTACAGTTGGAACATTATCGAGCCATCCACCTCGTTACAGTTGGAATATTATCGAGCCATCCACCTCGTTACAGTTGGAATATTATTGAGTTATCCACCTTGTTACAGTTGGACTATTATCGAGCCATCCAGCTCGTTACAGTTGGACTATTATCAAGCCATCCACCTCGTTACACATGAAATATTATCGAGTCGTCCACCTCATTACAGTTGAAATATTATCGAGCCATCCACCTTGTTACAGTTGGAATATTATCGAGTCATCCACCTCGTTACAGTTGGAATATTATCGAGCATCCACCTCGTTACAGTTGGACTATTATCGAGCCATCCACCTCGTTACAGTTGAAATATTATCGAGCCATCCACATCGTTACAATTGAATAATTATTGAGCTAGCTAGCTCGTTACAGAGAACTCCAAAGAGGAGAAAACAATCCCAAAATCAAGGGTTTTCCTAGAAGCAAGAGACATTTATATCACTTATGTCAAATACTTGAGAATATGAATTGTTTATTTCAATCTAGTTCGAACAACATGAAATTTATAAAGAAAGTCTAGCCATATTCAAAGGTGAATCAAATAGGAATCTCAAAGGAGAGTTTACGGTTTCCGTAAAGGATGGTATTTGCACTGCATTATCAAACAAGATAGTTATTATCAATCGTGCATTGCGGAAAATCGTGCATCGCGAGTCAGTAATTATGCACGACGAGAAGATTTTATGCCTCGTCAAAATTTATACATCGCAAGAAGATTTCATACCTCTCTGAAATTTAGACATCGCGAGAAGAGTTCATACCTCGTTGAAATTTATGCATCATGAGAAGATTTCATGCCTCGTCAAATTTATACATCGCGAGAAGACTTCATACCTCGCTTGAATTTATGCATCACGAGAAGAATCCATGCCTCGTTGAAAATCATGCATCGCGATCAATAATTATGCACGACGAGAAGATTTCATGCCTCGTCAAAATTTATAAATCGCGAGAAGATTTCATTCCTCGCTGAAATTTAGAAATCGCGAGAAGAGTTCATACCTTGCTGAAATTTATGCATCACGAGAAGATTTCATGCCTCTTTAAAATTATACATCGTGATAAGACTTCTTCCTCACTGGAATTTATGCATCACGAGAAGAATCCATGCCTCGTTGAAAATCATGCATCGCAGAAAATCATGCATCATAAGTCAGTAATTATGCACAACGAGAAGATTTCATGCCTCGTCAAAATTTATACATCGCGAGAAGATTTCATACCTCGCTAAAATTTAGACATCACGAGAAGACTTCATGCCTTGCCAAAATTTATGCATCACGAGAAGAATCCATACCTCGTTTAAATTTGTGCACCGTGAGAAGATTTCATGCCTCGCCAAAATTTATGCATTGCGAGTAGATTCCATACCTCGCAGAATTTACGTATCCCGGGAAGATATTCATGCCCCGCAAGAAGACATACACGTATAAAGAAAGGGAAATCGTGTATCCCAAGAGCAATATTTATCCATCGGCATCAACCACATTCTTTTATTTTGATTAAAGTAAACATCAAGAAGAGCATCGAAGTTGACGGCAAAAGAAATATCAATATCGCATCAGCATTTACGTATTTATTTCGACACCAAGTATAGAGTACATTAAAGATTATATTGCAAAACACAAGTCATAAGCTTTATTTGCTGTACGTCAGACCGATCGAGTCGACGTCGAATATTGAAGAGAACAATGAAGTGTCGACATGATAAAAAGACACTGTCTCCCATCCTAATTGCTTTTTTAAGCTGACGAGTTTTATCTCAGTCTTTGTCGAGAGCATCCAAAAGGATGAATTCCCCAAAAAATCACAGGTGCGAACGACATAAAAAAGAATGCAGCACAACGTGGAACTTTTTCTTAGCAGCGAACTGGGACACAGTCCAAAGAGGAATGTCAAACTCTTATGACGCGAGCAGAGGAGCGACTTCCACCACATCAAACCACACCCCTATATTAAGACTTGTTTGTTATTCTTTAGTTTTGTCAATGTCCGTCTCGCATCCGGAAGTTTCAATTTGTCGGAAACAAGTTTTCAATCTGAGTGACAATGCGCCAAGAGATTTGGAAATTATGTCTGTGTAAGCTCTTAATTATGGGTGTGAAGCGCGCTACATTCATGGCTAAGAGGCTACAAGCCTCCTTTTCATACTCGTTTAATTTGTCACTTGTCCAAAATCGAAAGTTGCCTAGCATAATAGATTTCCTTTTCAACCGATCGAGTCGAACTACACACAGCCTGATTCCTGAAGGTTTAAGGATATGTAGGCGGATTCAATGTTGAAAACTCGGCTGTATTCTAACATTCGCTCTCAAATTTTATTCTCGAGCATTTCGATACCTTCATAATTCGGTATCGAGGTGGCTTTTGATTTCTTTCAAAAATCGTGCGTTAAATCAAGCTTATTGAACTACAAGTGGCCTAAATTCTCATATAGCCAGAGATATGTAGGAAACCCATTTCAAAGGTTCGGCCATAATTTCTAAACCCTTGCCAAATCTTTCCCTTAAAGATGAATGGGGTTGGTCAAAATTGGTTTGGTCAATTTCATTTTCCTCGAATTGCTTGCATCAATCCAAGTAAAATGAGGGACAACTATAGACACCCAATTTCGACCCTCCCTGGTATAAATTAGTTTTCGAGCTTTTTAAATTTCCAAACAATTTAAATTAATTAGTTTTATAAATTTTGCGAAAAATAATAATAATGTATGAAATTTATGCCATTTTCTTATAATTTATTATAGATAATATATATATTTTTACATAATTATGTATATAGTTGGTATATTTTACGATTATTTCTCAAAATATTTTAAATTTTAGTAAGTATTCTATTTAATTAATTTAGTTTAAATTATGGTTATATTTTTAATCACTATTTTACAATTTAAATAATTATATTACTAGAATAAAGAAGCTCGTTCATTAATTAATACAAATTCGTTTTATTTAAGGTTTAGCCAAATTTATTATCCTAACTCAATTTGGCTATTTATTTAATCAACCCATTCCCCCTAAACTCATCAAAAACCAAATTTGGGCCTCTTTCATTTTTCTGATTGACCCAACCCATGACTTAAATACCCAGCCCATCAAATCAATTCCCTCTCTTCCAAGGCCCAAATATATTTCCAACCCAACTCCAAATCCTTTTCTTTTTAATCTCACAGAAGGCCCAACATTCCAGCCCATTCCTTTAAAATTAATTTCCAGCCCATTCCCTTTCCAGCCCATTCCCTTTAAATTAATTTCTAGCCCATTCCCCTTAATTTCCAGCCCAAAACCCATTTCCTTCCTAGCCCATTCCCTTTTAATTTAATTCCCTTTCCACCTTAGTACCCAACCGACCCTATCTTCTTCTTCTTTCCTACGCGACAAAACCTAACAACCAGCAGCCTGACGTGTCCCTTTCCCCTTAACCTTATCCTCTCGTACAAGAGATGTTTGAGATTCGTGAGGTGTCAAAATCTCTTGGCTTCATCGTCCTTGCTCAAGGATCAAAGGTTTGTGATTTTTATTCTGTTGGAGGTCTGTATGATGACAACTTGCATCGTTATCCCTTTAGGGAATTTCAAATTCAAATGGTGAGGAAGAATCTCGAATTTTCCCCAGGCCCTCCTAAGATTTCCTCCGCCCTCCCTCATCCAAAAATCCTAAGGCTCCTCTATATAAACCCCGCCCGTATTATTGAAAAGGGGGGTTGGAGAATTAAGTAAAAATTTTAGGGTGATTCCTAAGGAGAATTTTGTAGAGAGTTATAAGTTTTCTTTGAAAGGGTTCGTTGCCAAAAGATAGTAAACGTTTTCGAACATTTTAGGACGAGTGTAAGAGAGTTTAGCCTTCGAGCGAAGAAAACAGAGGAGGGAGCCTTTGATTATTGGGGATGTGCGTTGAAGCGCTGCTTTGCTTGTTCCATCTCAGTTCGCTGCTCCGCAGAAGGTATACTCCTCCATTCTCTCTTTTCTTCTCTTAAGTTCATTCATGTGTTTTTTTAGCTTAGCCTACTGCTAGAGTAGTATTTTGCTTAGTGTTGTTTGTTTCACTCAAATATCAACGTTCCTAATTGCCAGTGCTATAGTATTTTGTTTTGTTTATGCCTTGAGTATGTTGCTTTGATAATTGATTTTGAGTTTATGGAATGACTTTAGTTTCTTAAGCCAAATGGTTATGACCCAGTTGTCCTATTTCTTTGTGTCCTTTTCCTGCTCCTTTCGGCCTTCTTGGGTTTAATCTCTAAAATTTATGTGCCTCTCAGGGCGTTATGTGATATCCAAATTTTTGATTTCTTCATATGTTTTATCATAAATAAAAATAGCTAGTCAAATTGATTTGGGAATTTATTTATTAGAGTCTGTTGGTATTTGTGTATAACATGTTAACTTAGGGAGGATAAGCCTGTTAGAGTTTGACAGTATATAGTCGTATTTTTATGCCCTTTTGAATGATTTAACAAGGCCTCAAATTTTCTCCCTTTCTTTTTAAAGATTGTATATGGCATCGTTAGTTTCTTTTTGTTTATCGAAATGAATCGTTTGGAACTTTGAACATGAGGTATTCTTTTTGAGTAAGTAGCAGCATTTGTTAGTTAATATTATTCATCAAGGTGGTTTGTTTTTATTTACTTATCTCAAGAATTATTTGTTGAAATTGGCTGCATCCTTTTTTCGAATTTCTATTTTTTAGTTCTTGTATGAGTTAAATTATTTCTTTTTCATCCATGTTTGAAGCGATTTCTAAGTTTCTCCTTTTGTTTGTTGCATGAACCCCTCCGAATCCATAATGAATTTCTTTCCGTTGAATTCTCTTGTTGAGCCGTAAAGGCTTAAAACATAGCCTCCTCGAGTCGTAGATTTCTTTCAAAACAGATGTACAGGTTGAGACGTTATTCCTTAAATAGGTGTAAAAAATGTGAATTGCAGGTTAACGTACAAGGACGCCTATTTCAGATAAAATACGGGAATAAGCAATGAATACGTACATAGGGTACAACCCGTATACATTGGTGTACATTTTTTGGCAGTGATATACAATTGTTAAACAGGTTAAAAAATGGTACAGGTACAAATACGCAGAAACAATGTGGGAAATATCGGGTGAATAGAGAGAATCGCGTATTCGAACAAATGCAGGACTCAAAAAGTCCAAAAAGGATTGACTATACATCGTATACAACAATATACATCGTTTGTGTACTTTATGTCTCTTTCCAGGAAATTGGGCCAGGGCCCTTCAGCCTTTTTTAATAACAGGCCCAAAGGCCATTTGTTTCTGCAGTTTTTTTAAAGAGGGCCCAATTATAAGAATTAGTTTAGGACATGTGGACCAAATCTCAAACATTTGGGCAATCAAGCCCAAGTTCAAATATTTTTCTCTTTATTATTTATTTGTTTGAATTAATTAATATTTTGGTAGAATTTAATAATCTCCTAAAGGACAACCATTTTTCGTTATTTTAAATTTTACTATTTTATTTACTTATTTTGTTTTATTTACTTTTATCACCATTTAGTTTTTTCTTAAATTAATTCCCTCTAAATATTTCCATTTAGATGTAGAAAATGAAATAAAGAATATTAAAACAAATTTTCTCTTTACTTAGTTAAAAATTTTATTTTAAAAGTCATTTAGTCAAATCGCTGGTCAACCGCGAGTTAGCGGGCATCCCGAGGGCCTAATACCTTATCGGAATGTACATTGAACTTCGAACCCTGCCAATTGATTTTTTACTCTGTTTTTAAATCTTTTGAAATTTTTTCTTGATTTTATCAAAAATCAAGTTGCAACTCCATAATTTGGAAAGTTGATTTTTCTTAAATAATAAGATTAATTGATTTTTCGAAACCTAGTCATTTTCACACCATTTTAAACTAATAATAGTATTTTCAAAATTAAACAATGAGCTAATGTGGAATCGGGTGTCATTAAACCCTACACCGAAAGAAGGTAGACTACTTGTCTAGGTAGTACCAAAACATAAACATAGCATCTAGGTGGATCCACTAGCTAGTATTCCTATGGGGTAACATAGTTAAAGAACTAGGAAATGTGCTTAGGACCCTTTTTATGCTACATGCATTACAGTCTCCAATCTCATGAGTACAATAGTGAACCTACCTTCCCTAATTGGGAAGGGATATTTCTCACTACTAGTTCACTTTGTGCTAAGCTAGAGTCCCTTTTGAAATGTCTTTCTTTAACAATCATAACTTAGTTTAGGTTATAGGAGAATAACTCCTTGTATAATCATAGTCATCATCTCAATAGGAATTGCATGAGAACACCTTTCATTACAACCCTCATAGGTGAGATTAGTACCTTAACATCATTTCATCATTGTAAGGCATATTGGTACTTCATAACCAACTTATATCATTATATCTCAAGCATAATATCACAATCACGTAATTAAGACATTTCAATTTAAACATCATAATACACCTAATTATTAAAATTACTAGACATACATCAATTGAACTTCATCACCAAGTACAAGCCATCATAATTGAAGTAAAGGTTTAAGATATCAAGACTTACCCAATATCCTTTGAAAGCTATCGTTATGATCTTACCATCAACCAAGTCAATTCAATCCAATTATAGGTGTAATAACGTCAATCAATAGTAATTAACACAATAATGAAGTCAATTGCATCACTACAACTCATTCAACACTAGTTCATAACCTAGGGTTAGGGATTTGGGTCAATTTCATGATCTATTCCACAAACTAGGTTAACTCATCAAGAACTAGCATAATTGAATCATAATACATCATAATCTAAGCATAATAATCAAAAGAAACAATAGAAAATACTATTTAGAAGATCATTTCCGCATTAGAAAGGAACCCATATGACATAATATTTTTGAAAACCAATTTTGGAAGAGCCCTTTGGGAAAAGGAATCCCGAAGGTGAAGAGTTTCCATACCTTGTTATTTGTTGAACATTTATGAAGAAAAGTACCCTTATTTCTTCCCTAATGACCTTGAACTAGCCCTTTAATGGATTTGTTTTTTGTGAGAGGAAAGTAAAGAGAAGGAAGAGCAATTTGGGGCTGTTAAGTTAGGTTTTAGACTTAGGGTAGGTTATATAGTTAATTAGCTAACCTAATTAACCAACCCCTAACACTAATAAACCCCCTAACTAACTAACTTATTTAAATTACCAAACTAAAAACTTGACAGAAAATGCAGGTCTGACCTACGAGACCTTGACCTATTGGCCGTAAGTCAGTCACGACCAGGCCCCCCCCCCCCATCTTGCACAACTGTTATTTTGGTCAGAGAGTTGCTAAAATGGCATTTTTGAAAATTTTTTAAGTGACATCGAAGGAGGCAATCTACGCCCCATTGGTTGGACCACGCCTCGTCGCCTGCAAGTCGTAGGTAGACACTGTCCATGACAACCTTTTGGTCAAAGTGGAAGGGTCCTCCTCAAGGATCCTTAGGGTGGTCCTTGGGGAGTCGTACACAATCGTTTTGACCTTAAACCTACTCCAATATGTGCTAGGCACCTTTTCACCAAATTTCATCAATTTTCGACTCCTAAAACCCCTTGAAATAGGCTAAGGTACACTAGCACCTTTTGCACAAATCTCCGGACGTCATGGACTTTCCTTGATGTCTTAAATCTAAAGCTTTCTAAATGACTTTTATACCTTATTATTGACTTTAAAACAGTTTTATAAACCTTATACACTCATGTGAGGCTCTAGACTAGGTCTTTGATTTTCAGAATGTTACATTAATTCTTAAAACAAATTAGGAAATAGATGGGTGAAAAGTCTAGGTTGCCCTTGAATTCGGAATTGCACTTTCCTTACTTCAACAACCCAACTTCCTAAAGTCATATCTCCCTCATATCATATCGAAATCGTGCAAACTTGGCGCCGTTGGAAAGATCTATCCATGGTATTTCCAACAATATAAAGAACTGACTCTAACTCATCCTGTGCTATAAGTTATGACCGCTTGAAAATGACCAGAAACTCACTTTCTTAACCTTAGTAATTTTTTTAGAGTTTCCCTTTTCTTTACTAAAGTGAAAATTTCTAGTTTTTTAGCTTATTCTTGGTTATTACGACTTGCAGAAGTTAAAAAATATCTCCTCTTTGGGAACATTCGTCCTCGAATGAGATTTCATTCACTAAGTTAAGAATAGTAACCTCAAGTTTAACACTCAAACAATCAAAAGCAAGTAAAACATGCTTACTCATAGTTTATAAAGTGATGAGAAGAGAATTAGTGCCTTCATCTATATTTTCTGGATTCAAAGAGATGTGAATATCTCGTCATCATATTCTCTTCAACTTACCAAGTTGCTTCTTCAACAAATTGGTTCCTCCAAAGAATCTTGACTCACACAACCTTCTTTGTTCTCAACTTGTGGACGTGACTATCTAAAATATGAACCAAAATCTTCTCATAGGATAATCGATCCTTATTACAAAAATTTTAAGCTGGTACAACCAATGAGGGATCATCCATGCACTTTTTCAACATGGAGATACAAAATAAAGGATGAACCACTTCTAACTCTTGTGGAAACTCTAACTCTTAAGCTAGGACTAAATTTTCCTTTTTACCAAACCTCATAATAACCTTCACGGTGAACCTTTCAGATATACCCACTCATCCACCTCAAACTCCAACGAACTTCTCTTAATATCAGTGTAGGAGTTCTAATGAGTCTGTGCCATTTTCAACCTATCCTAAATTAGCTTCACCTTCTCCATTGCTTGATGAACTATATCTGGTCCTATCAACCCTTCTTCACCAAATTTGAACCACCCAATAGGATATCTGCATCTTTTCCCATAAAAAGCTTCATAGTGAGCCATTTGGATGCTCGAATGGTAACTGTTGTTGTAAGAGAACTCAATGAAAGGTAGGTAATCATCCCGATTCCCTTGAAATCAATCAAACAAGGGTGGAAAACAGTGCTTAAGTTCACCTTTGAACCTAAACCTTTTTGGAAATACTTCCATAACTGAGAAGTAAATTGTACACCTCTATCTGAAATGATCTAAAGTGGGACTCCATGGAATGTCACCACCTCTTGAATGTATAACTTTGCATAATACTCTGCCAAATGAGTAGTATTTACTGGCAAGAAGTCGACAAATTTTGTCATCTTATCGACAATCACCCAAATTAAATCATGTTGCCTGGGAGACCTTGGAAAGCCTGTGATGAAGTCCATATTAATCATATCCCACTTCCATTCCAGAAGTTTTATATTCTGAGCCAACCTTCTAGGCCTTTAGTGTTCTACATTTACTTGCTGGCAATTCGGGCACCTGGCAACAAACTCAACAATGTCCTTCTTCATACCTTCCCACCAATATACCTCTCTCAAATTAAGGTACATCTTGGTGGAACCCAGATAAATGGAATATATAGAGCTATGAGCGTCCTCCATTATCCTCACTTGGAGCCCATCCACCCTAGGTAGACACAATCTACCTTAATACTTCTGCACACCATCTCCCCCTTGTTCAAAAGTTAATACTCTTTACTTATGAACATGTGCCTTCAAATCAAGAGAAATGGGGTCTTGATCTTGCTTTTGTTACCTTTGAAAGTAGTGATGATTTAGTCCCATTAGTCACCACTATCCCTTCTTCTATGAAATCCAGTCTGACTTCCAGGTGTGCGAGTCTGTGCATATCTTTGTCTAACTCCCTCTTTTCTTCCTCAACATGGCCGGTACTCCCCATGGATAACTTACTTAAAGTATCAACAACCACATTAGCCTTACCTGGGTGGTAAAGAATACTCATGTCATAATCCTCGAGTAATTCTAACCATATGCTCTGAGATTTAGCTCTTTCTGGGTGAACACATATTGTAGGCTCTTGTGATCAGTGAATATATCAACATAAATGCCATACAAGTACTGACACCATATCTTAAATATGAATACTACAACATCAACCTCCAATTCGTGGGTTGGTTAGTTCTTCCCATGAACTTTCAACTGTCTGGAGGCATAAGCTATAACTTTTGCATTCTACACTAACTCACATCCCAAACAATCTCTTGATGCATCACAGTACACCACAAAACATTGAGTACCCTCTGGTAAAGTCAAATTGGAGGAGAAGTCAACTTCTGTTCAACTCCTGAAAACTTTTCTCACAAGTTTCAGGCCATTGAAATTTAACTATCTTCCGAGTCAACTTGGTCAAGGAAGACAAGATAGATGAAAAACCATAAACAAACCTTCTATAGTAGCCATCCAAACCCAAGAAACTCCTAATATCAGTAGAAAACATGGGTCTAGACCAACTCTGAGCTGCTTCTATAATTTGGGTATCAACTCTAATCCCATCATTGGAATACGATCTGACCCAAGAATGCCACAGACTTAAGCTAAAACTCACACTTGAAGAACTTTGCATACAATTCTTTTTCATTTAATGTCTTGTAACACCCCCGTGTCTAAAAAAGACAAGAAATCATATTTTTAGAAATCTGTAGGTGAAATTGACGGTTACCATCCATGGACCATAGCCTGACCCATGAGCTGTGCTGTACATCCGTTGATTGTTACTGAAACTCCCCAAGGTGCAACCCAAAAAAATTGACTTAGTATCAAACGATGGACGAACCGATGGTCTGTAGGTTAGACTAAGGTGTAGCCTCTGTCCGTCGATAAAGACCCCATTAACCTACTCTCTCAAAATAACCACAATTGACCAACACAGTTCGTAGATGGACCCTAGGTGGAAATTAGCAGACAGTTAGAGGGAAAATGCACTTGGGTAAACTTTAAATGATCATAACTCTTATCACAAACTGAATTAGGTGTCCCATGACATATGAGATTATAGATAATTGAATTAGCTTTCCATATCCACCGATCTTGCTAAAATCAGAGCTCCGAGTAAATTGTTATGCCCATTTTAGTAAAGGCCTGTCGAGCAGACCCAACCTGCGGACCGAAAAAACGGACAGTCAATTGAACGACTCCCCGTCAGTCCATGTCATTGTTTGATCCGGCAACAATCAACTCAGGGGTCTTTTGGTCATTTTGCATTTTGTTTAAACCATAAGATACGTTGTTTTGACCCTAAATCATAAGATATTAGTCAGTTTAATCCTAGAAACATAACTAAAACTTACCTTAGTCAAATCATAAATCAAAACTTAGAAAATTAGAAGCAAAAAAGGAGAAAGAGGTCAAGAACCTTGGTTCAAAAACGCAGCAAGGTTCAAGTATTTCCAGCACCAAAATCCAAATATTTCTCTGTGAATTTCATAACCAGGTATGTGGGATTTCACTAGTGGGTCCCTTTCACCCATTGGGCCCCTAGTTTTCTATTATATTCTTGATTCCCTTATCATGATTAGACCTACGGGTTCTAGAACTTCATGAATTAATTAGTTATATGTTACAAATCAGATTATCATGTTATTACTCAAATTATTGCATGAATTTCAGAACCCTAGCTATATATTTCTTTAGTTATTGAATTACACATGCTAGGTAAAATATTTTAGTTACTTCAAATATATATGCCTCAGTTATAAATGCATAATTACCAGATTAATTGTTGCATTCTCATTTACATGTTTAATTTTGAGCTATCCAGTATTTAGAAAAACTCAGTCATAATCAATTAATTACAGAATTCTTTGGGAGTAGTATAGTACCGAGTTGGAGTAGAGTTCAACATACCCAATAGTCCCAAAACTAGTAGCTAAGTAGGTTGTAAGTCCCCTATGTGGGCATCAGTTTAGTGATCACACCAGCATACCATTATACCTCTGGCAGGGTATATTGGGTTCTCTGATGGGGCGTACACATTAGACTCTTTATTTAGCTCATGTGGTTTTATTATCAGTTATTAGTAGCTCCCATAGATCAGTCAAATTCCACTGTATTGACCATTTATTTGTATATTCAGTATTCACTTTCAGCATGTTATAAATTGGTCATTGCATTTAGTTATCTCAGAATTCAAAATCTATATCATGTTCAGATTATATACTTGCTTTTGTGATTGTTCATTTATGTATCATTTCAGATTTACTCTATCCTACATACTTAGTAACTTCAAGTACTGAGACATACATGTGCTACATCTTCTTGTGATGTAGGTTCAGGTTCTCAACATCCAGATCACGCTTAGATTGATTCGCGATCTCTAGTTCAACAGATTCAGTGGTGAGTCTTCATTCTCCAAGGACAATAGTCATGAGTTCATATCAGTCTTTTTGTCATTTAGTTTCAGTTTTTTCTAGACTTAGCTGAGCCTATCCCAACATTTCTAGTCTATTAAGTTAGAGGCTTATTACATACATAGTTAGTTTCAACTTAATATTCAATAAATAACTTTCTTGTATTAAACTCATCAGTATTTCATTTATCTCAATTTTAGAATATGGGTATTCCCCATCTTTTCAATTTAAATTATGATTTAGCTTCCACATTCAGTTTATTATCTTTAGTATGCTTATGATCATGCCAACAGGGTTAGCTTGGGATCAATTCTGGTCCTAGGTATCGTGTCCGCGTCTCGAAGGTAGCTCGGGGCATGACAAAACTTGGTATCAGAGCACTAGGTTTAAGAGTCCTAGGATGTCTAAAAAGCGCACTAAGTAGAGTCCTTTTCATGGGTGTGAAGTGCACCACATCTAATGAAAGGGAGGATATGAAGTGTTTTAGGAAAACTTACTTTATTGTTACTCTTATCGTGCGTAAGGTATGATGTTATTCCATTCTAATTGACGTTCTACATTTCAGATCATGCCTTCTCATAGAGCCAACGCTAGGAATGCGACCAGTCCAAGATCAAGAAGTCTCTAATGATGAGTTTAGGAATGCTATACAGATGTTGGCTCAGAGTATGACTAACTAGAACAATTGGGTTCATGCTCATGTTAATGCAAATGGTGGATCAGTAGCAGCAAGGGTCCGTGAGTTTGTTAGGATGAATCCGCCTGAGTTTTTAGGATCACAAACTAATAATGATCGTCAGAATTTCTTGGATGATATAAAGAAGATCTTTGAGGTAATGCAAGTCACTAGGAATGATCGGGTTGAGTTGGCATCATATCAGTTGAAAGATTTGCTCATATATGGTACACTCAGTGGATGGAAAATAGGGGTAAAGATGCGGCTCCTATTACTTGGTGTTACTTTAGTAAGACCTTTCTGGATAGGTTTTTCCCAATAAAGTTGAGAGAAGCAAAAGATCAAGAATTCATGAACTTGAGGCAAGTATGGGCTGAAGTTTAACCAACTCTCCAGGTATGCTCCTCACATGGTTGCTGACTCCAAGACTCAGATGAATAAGTTCTTGTATGGAGTGTCGAATTCGGTGAAAACTGAGTGTAGAAGTGCTATGTTACTTGGACATATGACATATCTACGCTTGTGACTCATGCTCAGTAGGTTGAGGGTGATAAACTCAGTGAACAGGCTAAGGAGAATAAGAAGGCTAGGACTGGGAACTATGACTATTCTCACCAGAAATAGGGTGGTAGAAATCGCTTGCAGAGCCAACAAAAGTTTTCAGCTCCAGCCCCTTCTTCAGTTAGTCTTTCATCCTCCAAGAATAAGTATGACTAGAAGGGTAGAGCATCAGGCCCTAAGTCTCAGGGAAGTGTTTCAGGCACCAAGACTTACCCCACTTGCCCTAAGTGTGGTAAGAACCATCTGAGCGAGTGTCTCGCAGGAAAAGGAGGATGCTTTGGGTAACTCAGTCTGGTCACAGGTTGAGGGATTGTCCTTCTGGAAAGGGTTAAGGAGTTAGAAATGGTAGAGCTTAATCTACAACTTCAGTAGCACTATCAAGTCACTCGACTCAGCAGGGTAAGTCATCTGGTACAGGTGGCTCAGCGCTAGAACAAGTTGTATGCTCTTCAGGATCACCAGGATCAGGAAGGTTCTCCTGATGTAGTCACTGGTACGTTATGAGTCTTTGAATTTAATGTTTATGCATTGTTAGATCTAGGGGCTACTCTCTCTCTTTTGTAACTCCTTACATAGTAGTCCAGTTCAGTGTTAGTCCAGAAACTGTCTCAGAACCTTTCTCAGTCTCTGCTCCAGTCGGTGACCCACTTATAGCTAGATAAGTATACAGAAATTGCCATGTCACAGTCTCTCAGAAAGTCACCTTAGCAAATGTTGTAAAGTTATAAATGGTAAACTTTGATGTCATTCCAGGCATGGATTGGTTACATTCATGTTATGCCTCAGTCGATTATAGAACTAGGATTGTTCATTTTCTGTTTGCAAATGGACCAATCTTAGAGTGGAAGGGTAGTAGCTTAGAGCCTATAGGTTGATTCATTTCTTATCTTAAGGTTATAAAGATGATATCTAAGGGTTATATCTATCATCAAGTTCGGGTTAAGGATTCTAGCTTTGAAACTCCAAGTGTTGAGTCAGTTCTAGTAGCCTGTAAGTTCCCAGAAGTATTTTCAGAAGATCTTGCAGGAGTCCCTACCAAAAGGGAAATCAACTTTGGAATTGATCTCTTTCTAGATACCCAACCTATTTCTATTCCTCCTTATAGAATGGATCTAGCAGAGCTTACGAAATTGAAAGAGCAGTTGTAAGACCTTCTAGATAAGGTCTTCATCAGACCTAGTATTTTACCATGGGGTGCACCAGTGTTGTTCGTAAAGAAGAAATATGACTCTCTTATAATGTGAATTGACTATAGACAGTTGAACAAGGTCACAATCAAGAATAAGTATCCTATCCCCAAGATTGATGACTTCTTTGACCAACTTCAAGGAGCTAGCCATTTCTCAAAGATAGTTTTTAGATTGGGTTACCATCAACTTAGAGTCAAAGATAGTGACATTCTGAAAACAAAATTCAAAACTTGGTATGGTCATTATGAATTTGTAGTTTTGTTGTTTTGACTAACCAATGCTCCTACATGTTTCATGTATTTGATGAACGAAGTGTTCAAACAATACTTGGACTTGTTCTTTATCGTCTTTATTAATGATATCCTCATTTACTCGAGGAATGAGGAAGAACATGCGAGTCATTTGATAAGTGTTCTACAGACTCTCAAGGATCTCCATTATTCACTAAGTTTAGCAAATGTGAGTTCTGGTTGCTATCTGTTGCTTTCCTTGGTCACATTATATATAGCAAAGGGATTTGAATGGATTCACATAAGATAAAAGTAGTGAAACAATGGCCCAGACCTACCTCTGCTACATATATCAGATTTTTCTTAGGTCTAGTGGGTTATTATAGAAGGTTCGTGGAAGGATTATCATCCATAGCCTCATTTATTGACTAGCTTGGCTCAGAAGATGGTCAAGTTCTAATGGTGAGATGATTATGAGAAATTCTTTGCAGAATTAAAATATAGATTGATTACAGCTCCTTTCTCGACTCTACTAGAGGGTTCAGATGGTTATGTGATCTATTGTAATGTATCTAGAGTTAGACTAGGTTGTATGTTGATGCAGCGAGATAAGGTTATAGCTTATGCTTCTAGACAGCTTAAGGTTAATGCGAAGAACTATCCAACTCATGGCCTCAAGCTTGTAGCAGTAGTATTTGCACTCAAGATATGGAGACACTACTTGTATGGTGTTCATGTAAACGTGTTTAATGATCATAAGAGACTTCAGTATGTGTTCACCCAGAAAGAGTTGAATCTTTGCCAGAGGAGATGAGATCCTTAAGGATTATTATATGAGTGTGTATTATCATCCTGGTAAGGCGACTGTAGTAGTAGATGCTCTTAGAAGATTATCTAAGGGTATTGTAGCCTATGTTGAGGAACAAATGAAGGAGCTAGTGAAGGATTACACAGGCTTGCTCGCTTAGGAGTTCACCTTATTAGCATATCAGACAATGGTGTAACAGTTCAAAATAGGGCAGAATCTTCTTTTCATGGAGTTTAAGGAAAAGCAATATAGTGATCCAATCTTTTTTGAACTTAAGGGTGCCGTTCGTAATTAGAGAGTAGAGGTTTTCTCCCAAGGTGGAGATGGTGTACTTCGCTAACAGAGTAGATTGAGTGTTCCTGATGTGGGTGAGTTGTGAAACCATATCCTTGCATAAGCCCATAACTCCAGATATTCTATTGACCTAGGTGCCACTAACCTGTACCGTGATCTGCGGGAAGTCTATTGGTGGAATGTCATGAAGATGGATATAACAAATGTTGTGAGTAAGTGCCCCAATTGCCAGCAAGTCAAGGTAGAACATCAGAAACCAGGAGTTTTGACTCAAGATATCGATATTCCTACTTGGAAGTGGGAAGTAATCAATATGGATTTCATCATAGAGTTACATTGTACTCGCAGATAGCATGACTCAATTTGGGTGATACTTGATAGGATGACTAAGTCTTCTCGCTTTTTAGCGGTCAAGACTATAGATTCGGCAGAGGAATATGCCAAGATTTACATTAATAAAGTTGTGAGGTTACATGGGGTTCCTTTGTTTATCATCTCACATATAAGTCCTTAGTTTACCTCTCATTTCTAGAAGTCATTTCACAAGGGTCTTGGTACTCAAGTTATACAACATTTCATCCAAGACGAATGAACAGGCAGAGAGTACCATTCAGACCCTAGACTATATATTTAGAGCTTGTGTGATCGATTTTAAAGGTACTTGGGATGATCACCTTTCTCTTATTGAGCTTGCCTATAACAATAGCTACCATTATGAAATTCAGATGACCCCTTATGAGACACTATATGGGCGTAGATGGAGATCTCCCATTGGTTTGTTTGAAGTAGGTGAAGCAGCTTTAGTAGGGCTAGATTCAGTCCTTTATTCTATGGATAAAGTGCAAATCATTAGAGAGAGACTTAAGACATCCCAGAGTTATCAAAAATCTTAAGCAGATGTAAAGGGAAGGGAACTAGAGTTCCAAGTTAATGATTGGGTTTTCTTGAAAGTGTCACCTATGAAAGGAGTGATGAGATTTGAAAAGAAAGGGAAACTCAGTCCTAGATATGTTGGCCCTTACAAGATCTTGAAAAGGGTTGGCAAGGTGGCATATAATCTAGAGTTGACATCAGAATTAGTAGTAGTACATCCGGTCTTGCACATCTCCCTGTTTAAGAAGTGTGCGGGTGATCCAGCCTTTGTAGTGCCATTAAAGAGTGTGGCGGTAAAAGATAGTCTTTCTTATGAGGATGTACCAGCTGAGATTCTTGATCGTTAGGTTAGAAGTTTGAGAAATAAAGAAGTCGTTTTAGTCAAGGTTCTGTGGAGGAGTCATTCTGTAGAGGGAGCTACTTGGGAAGCAGAAGCAACCATGAAAGCCAAGTATCCTCACCTCTTTCCTTCCGATTCCATTCTAGCTTGCGGTAATAGTTCCTCTACATTTTTTCAGTCATTCATGCATGAATTCATCCTTCTAATCATGTTCCCTCAGTTTGTACTTGCATTTTCAGCGTATTTAGATGTTTTCAGAGCTCAATTCTGTCAGAAACTCAGTTCTCAGTGTTTAGTAGTAAGGATTACAACTCTCTTCCTCTATTAAGCTAATTTAGTCTTCATTCGAGGACGAATATTCCCAAGGGGTAGATAATATAACACCCCGTATCTAAAATAGACTAAAACTCAGCCTTTAAGAAATCTATAGGTGCAATCGATGGTTACCATCGATGGACCGTAACTTGACCCATGGCCCGTGCTGCACATCCGTCGATTGTGACTGAAACTCTCCCAAGACGCAGCCCAGAAAATTTGACTAAGTGTCGAACGACAAATGGACCTACGCTCCATAGGTCAGACAATGGTCTGTAGTCTGTGCCCATCGATCAAGACCCCATTCACCCACTCTCTGAAAAGAACTACGATTGACCAACACGGTCCGTAGGTGGAAATTAGCGGACAGTTAGGGAGAAAATGCAGTTGGGTGAACTTCAAATGATCATACCTCTTAGAAAACAATGAATTAGGTGTCCCGTGATCTATGATATGATAGATAATTGAATTATCTTTTTATAGACACCAACTTTGGTAAAATCAGACCTCCGAGTAAAGAGTTATGCCTGTTTTAGTAAACGCCTGTCGAGCAGACCAAACCTACGGACCCAAACGACGGACAGTCGATTGAACAACGGCCCATAAGTCCAACTCCTCATTTCGTCCAACAACAACTAACTCAGGGGTCTTTTGGTCTTTTCGCACTTCGTTTAAACCCTAAAATATGTCGTTTTGGCCTTAAATCATCATATTTTAATTAGTTTAAGCCTAGAAACATAACTAAAACTTGCCTTAGTCAAATAATAAATCAAAACTTAGAAATTAGAAGCAATAAAGGAGAAAAAGGTCAAGAACCTAGTTCAAAAACACAGTAAGGTTCCAGCATTTCCAGCCCCAAAATCCAAATATTTCTATGTGAAATTTATCACTAGGTATGTGAGATTTCACTAGTGGGTCCCTTTCACCCGTTGGGTCCCTAGTTTTCAGTCAGATTCTTGATTCCCATATCATGATTAGACCTCGGGTTTCTAGAACTTCAACATAACTTCATGAATTAATTAGTTATATGTTCCAGATCAGATCATCATGTTATTACTCAGATTATTGCATGAATTTCAGAACGCTAGCTATGTATTTCTTTAGTTCTATTACACAAACTAGGTAAGATATTTTAGTCACTTCAGATATACATGTGATGACATTGAAATTTTGTGGGACTCTACTAGATGCGTTCCATTCGAGTTGAGACTCTACGAATTGTGTTCAACTCAAATAAGGATTCTTGGAGGCTAGTCAACCCTAAACCCTAGTTTATGCATATATAAAGGGTACTAAATTCCCTTAAAAGGCATCTTGAAAATTCCATAAAGAGATCAAGATCTCGAATACTCCGTAAATTGATTGATTATTCATATAGAGAGGTCAAATCTAAATTATCCTAGTTTGAGAAATACACCACTAACGACTCTCAAATCATGGATAAATCATAGGAGAGTAGACCAATAGAATTGTACCCGTAATCTATTTTGATTAATAAAATCATGTTTCTTCATATTTTATTTGTGATTGCAATTTATTTTCTGTCACTTTAAAATTCGTTACAGAAAACATGCCTCAGTTATAATGCATAATTACTAGATTAATTGTTGCATTCTCAATTT